GTTATATTATACTTCAATGTATTATACGAATAGAATATTTTAAACGTAATAAAAGAATAAGTCACAATTGAACTTTTTAAGCAGATTTGAATTTTTTACAATAATGATATAATGTATTATTTCTTAATTATATATTTATAATAACAATTATTTCTCGGTAACGTGAAATATAGCATGAAAAATATACTGTAAAACATAATATTCCACTTATCGCAAAATTGCAACATTTTCAGAAAATCTTGCGTAATTTTATTTTATACAAGGTGAGGTTACTTATCAAGAAGATTGCACATGTATGCTAACGACGAAATTTCTACATATTCGCGCTCTAACGTTCTCATGAATGCAAAATATATTCAGATCTTAATATAATACTCTAGAGTAGTGAACACTATATCGAAATCTCTTGTAATTCTGCTTAAGCGTGTTCCTCTCAATGCATTGACAAATGTGTGACTGGATTATCTTGTAGGTACAAATTCACTTCTAAATTTTCATTAAGTTTTGTTTTCACAGAAAACATAAAATAAAAAAAAACATTTATTTTTAAAATACGTTACCGTAACGTTATGGAAAATGTTTGGTTGTATACTTATGTATAAAAATTCTATAACAATTATTTCATCATAACATTGAATAAAATATCCATTAGGAATTTGCGTTGTTATAACATTACGTTACTCGGCGCATAACACTTTTATTGGACGCGTTTAATTAAATTTTTTCTCCTACTACGATAACGGTTTTTGTTATACCTTTTACAACAAAAATACATTTAAATATAAAATTTATTTATATTTTATTTTACATAATGTGCGGTATTGAATAGCTTAATTTGTTATATTTATTATAAAAAAAATAGTTTTAAATTTGATAAATATATAAGAAACAGAAAAATTTTCTTAACACAGAGAGAGATATCCGATAAAATGTTACATAAATCGAGGTTTTGATATACAATTTCATTTATACTGTTAAAATTTGTATTTATTGCATTAATTATTTTATGTGAAAGGTATTTTTAAACAGTATCAAAGTAATAATTTTGTGCTAATTAACTGTTGTGTATGCATATACTATCATTATTTTAATTGTTAGAAATATATCACGTTTAAATGGCATAATTTTTTTTATTTATTTAGGGGAATATATGAGGTCATCAAAAAGTTGTATATATAGTAGTATGTCATTCCAACTTTGAAATTGACTTCCGATAAGCGGAGAACAAGATTGATGATTGAATGATGCGCGATGGTTGTCGAAATTTCTGGCAACCGTTAGCCATTTCAATCTGCAAAATTCAAGAATCAGTCATATATATCATCCAATATTCCAGCCATCAAACGCAAGCGAATGCATTTATATGAAATACTTTGAAAATGTTTTGCAGTGATAGCAAATAAAAACTTTTGTAAATATATTAATTTCGAGTAGTATTTATTTGTTTATGGAACGATTCAGTGCATTCTTTTACGATGAGACTTTTCTAAATCGGTCTACTGTCTAATTTTAAAATTCGACTATTTTTAAATATTAATCTGGTTTTACGTTACAAAGCAAGAAAAAATTGGGTTTATTTTTTGTCTTTATATCAAATTGTTATTGTATACTATATTTACAAAAGGACTTTATTACTTTTAGCAATTAATTATTGGAAAATGGAATAAACTGATTAACACTAATTAATTAATTTTTTATTCCTTATACTCATTTTCCATATAAATGTTATTGAATTTTTTTTTTTTTCATAATTGTTATCGGCTTTATCATATTCTTATTTTTTTTTCTTTCTCCAACAGAATGGTTTAGGTTTTATTGTTCTTTCATCTATTCCCGGTACTCCCATCAAATATTTAAAAGTTTTCTTTTTTTTTTTTTTTACTGAGTTGCTGTAAATGCATCACATCTATTTTTCAGCAGCATTCTTCGCAGAAAAGTTACCTCTAGTATTTTCTGTTTACTCTTTGCTTTAATTGTAGTATGTTACTATCTTACAAAACAATTCCGATATATATTTTCTGATCTACATGATTAACGAATTTAATACAAGACTAATAGACAAAAAAAATTTCAAGGAAAGAATATTCAACGCGACAGTAGTAATCTGCGAAAATTTCATTTCTACCACGCAATCTTCCATTAATCACGATGGTACCTGCAATTCGTTACGATTGACAGAGACATAATATCTGCGAATCCTTCTTTATTAACATTCAAATTCAAACAGAGAATCTTCTCTCTAGAGCGGAACTATCTGAATCTTGAACAAAATATAAATTTCATATATGTATTACGATAACATTGCAAAATGTTCGTATGGTAAACAAATTTTGTTCTAGTGCAGTTTTCACATGCTTAAATGAAAATTATATCCTTACTTGAATTTTCCTGAACGTTACTTCCCTTCGTTTGTATCGATTTTCTCCTATCGTAATGGCATCGTGTTAAAATTTGCACTGCAGTAGAACCGCAATAATAAATCGATATCAAAACGTGCACTTAATCGAAATTTACTTAAATATAATAGGAAAAATTCGGCATAAAAATAGACTTTTTTTTATGTCACAGTAAAAGTTTTATCGTGTAATTCTTTTGCGATATTTTTTCCTACTCTTTATTCTGTTATTTTTAATAAAAGTTCTGGGAAAAAGTACAAGTCATTATGATTTTTTTTATAACAATAGACGGTAATAAAGCTTTTGTTAATAAAATGAAAATAAAACTAAAAATTTCCTGCACTCGGTAATATGCAGTGTCATGTAATTTTATTTATATCATAATTCAGGAATACTTTATATTCGAATAACATTTAATTTATTACCTGACAAAAGGAGTTTCGCATTATAAACTTTTTCTGAACGTCTTAGATTTTTATTTTTTTTCATTCCTACAACAGGATCCAATATTAAATATCACAGCTATTTATGAATTCGTGTTCGTATTGCGCGAGAAATAGCTTCAGCATTCTTATCGTGCTTCTTTATCGATTTTTGCACGATACTATTCATTGACGAAACGTGGCAACGTAACCGGGATTCTATTAATCGTTCTATCGTTTCACGAGTCGTCAGTTTATCGTCGCCTCGAGCAGAGCTTAAGAGATTTCACGGTTATTCCTTTCACTTGACTTACTAGCAATAGCTTCCGGTTTCATCTCGAGTACACTGACTTCAAGTGCTTCGCTGTATAAAGTACACATATACGAAGCCCGTAGTTAAGAACGTGAGAGTAATCGAAAAGTCCCAAGTTGATACTATAACGTATATCGAAGTGCATTGATTAAAAATCTGGTAACATCTTCTATATTTATCAATATTATTTTATTAACTCTGTACAGCTAATTTGATTATGCGAATGAATTGATCTCTCATTTTTTGGTAACGTATTATATATATGGTACTACTTTTTTAATACTACCAGACTTGATTTGCATTAAATATCTTAAATATATAATGTGAATATGTGATACGAGAGCTGCTTACAGATGATTTTCTCGTTTAATGTGCACAGTTTATTATAAATACTATTGAGAAATTTCTATTAATTGGGAAACATATTATTGAAATCTAGACTTGATCTTCTAAATTATTCGAAGAATTAAATTATTCATACTGATTCGATAAATGTCTAAAAATACGCCATTGAAATTTGATAATAAGCTCTTGTTACTTTAATTTAGACGTAAGTTAGCCTGAGTACATGAATCACAAGTCACTATTTAGCATACAGTAAAATAAACGATGATAATTTTTGAGCATTTAATATCTGGAAATTAATCGTCGAAGTCAATATATATGTCTCAATTTAAATCATCTTTAATTATAATCTAATAAACACGATTGAAATGAGTTTTTTAATGTAATCTACAATTCCTCTCTCATTTACTGTCATTTGTATGCATAATGGATGCATTCTATACACGTATATTGTATATACGTGTGTATTATGGGTAAGAGAAGATATTTTTCATACGTAAATGCATAAAAAAATGTTTGTGAAAAATTTTTTTCTGAGTGAAGCATATAGTAAATATAATACCTTCGGCCCAGTTCTAGTCGACTTTGATAGCTTAGTGATAAAGTTGAAGTGCTTTGTAAATTGACGATCCGTTTCCAGCACATTTAATTTCTTTAAAAGTATTTGTGCAACGAATAAAATTGAAATTTGTATATGAATGTTTATATTTATGCATTTCGATATTTATATGTAAATATAAAATAAATTCAAATAAATAAATTCAAAGTCGCTGTTATAAATATTTTATATTAGATGCATTGTTTTTTAATAAAAAAAAAATTTATATTGTAACACATAAGAAGGAAGGAATAAGTAAGATATATTTTAAACAAAATTAATTTTAATAATTTTATTAATAATCATTTTATCAATTATTGAGTTTTTAAGAGATTCCTGTTCTACCAGAGATATCTGATACATACGTTCAAAATTCTTGGAAAATTAGATTACTCCGGCGTGCTACGTTTTCTGTTTGAAGTATCGCGACGATTAGTGAATTTCCAATACAAAGTTTGCTTTATTACTTCAGGTCCGTTATATCTGTGCGGCGGCAATAGCCGGTTCCATTCACGGACACTTCATTTTGCTGCAGAACAAACAAGCTTTTAATCACAGTTTCAGTTTGCCGCTATTGTCTTTACAGTGCAACGCCCCGCGTTTACTCGATTCGCGCTACCACGGTAAAATCAATATCTACGTACCGCGTTTAATATTTTTCCACGGTTACGCGTTCGTAACTGCCTTCTGAGAGGATGGCGTCGGGATTACGCAATACACGTACTCCATTGTACTCTACGGAAGCGCATAAAGCTGGCGACATAACGGGGTCTCCTCATTGGCGCTTGAATATTGGATAAGTTCGGCGGCGAGCACGGGGAAACGGAGCGATTACGCGCGCCCGCTTCCCCGTACCGCCGCCGTGCCGTGCTCGAGTTTCGTCGACAATGACTATAAGAGAGACCCGCGAAATTATTATGTTTCAGTTCTGCCCCGTGAAGAGCCCGTTATCGTATCGGAACGCGATCGCTACGACCCAGGAGACATGTTGAGGGCAAATTGCAGCCTGCCGCCTTCGAAGCCACCGGTTCACCTCTCATTCACGCTGAACAGCATGCCGGTAAGTGATGCCTATAGCCCACGATTGTCGTATTATTGAATCAAGGAGCGAGCGAATGTGTGTTAGCGATGGGTTTTCGATGTTATATTTGCGGCTGTATGTACATACAACAGAATAGAACCCTGACCTTTTCAAAGGAAAGGTTATACTGAAGTAAATAATGAGCGAAAATTTATCCTTGGTACACATGATCATTTTCGTGTCCTGCGTATTTCCTTTCTTTGAAATACTAGAAGCATCTGGCCAAATAATGGCCTTTATTCTTTCCTTATTATAATATGCAACTTTAACAATACTTTCTAAAAATATTAAAATAATATAAGAACCATTTAATAATTTTTGTATATTTGTAATGGTGCAGATAAAAGAATGTGGAACACGAACGACCCATCGTATGTAGTAAAGTATGAGAAAATATGTGTTAAAGATTAAACGCGTTCAAATCTCTTAAGAAAACGATTAAATTGTTCATTTATTATCGAACAAATTATTCTATGTAATAATTAATTTCAGAAAATGTGATATAATTTTTTATTTAATAATTTAACGATTAGTTTTAATGCTTCAGTATACCTATTACGTAGGCATCACATCTCAATCATTGGATATGAAATTAACCAAGTGTGAAAAAATGCAAACCGTTGAAATGTACACGTTATAAAAATACTTTGAAAGTCGTGGTGATTCTTCCTTCTTTTTTTCAAACGGTCCATTTAACAGCTGCACTCTTTTTTACTTCATACCACTCAATCGGAATCCGCTTTTCTCACATCTTCTCGCTTGAAATGGGTCCTTTTATAAAAATTGTTAAATCGAAGACTATTTGCTCTTACCACCCCATGAAACTCGTAAGCCTCATTGAAAGTGCACAGGATTTCGATATCGATTTTCAATTTGCGAAATATATGTGTCTACATAGCGGCTATTATCATCGTCGCCAATGTTTATTGTAGTAGGAAACTCCTCTAACCGTTCGGAAAGGAGATCATTTCCGCACGTTACTATTTTCCCTTTATCACCGAAATCACGCGCCCGAAATGGGTTCCATTTATTACCGGCTTTTAACTGATGTGCACGGAATTTGCATAGTCCTACTGCGAAGGCACATTTTAGAGCTCAATTTAGTTTTGAAATAATTTCGGGGCAAGAACGTTGAGGAATCCTGGCGAGCTCTACGAAAAGACACATTGACAGACATTAAAGAGGTTAAGCAAACCCTTCGTCCCTCGAATATGCGCAGTAATATGCGTATCGTTTATTTTGGTAATTCAGTTCTTATACCGAGATTGAGGTCCTGTACGGAATTAGAACATGAATGATTAAGCCTTACGTCCATCCCTTCCCGAACGCTCGTGCGACGTCGTCTCCGAGGGTAAAAGGTTTTATCAAACGCGTCTGCGGGATAAGAGAATTTGAATAATCGGATAATCTGTGCAAAAGCCGCCAGGAGCACCGAACGAAATACTAATAACTACGATACGAGCAAAAATGTTGTCGAGTAACTTTTGCCGAGCGAAACACCGCGGCACGGGAACAGCCTCTGGCGATGCATTACCCATAATCTCCGGGGATGACGTCGCGAGGATCTCATTAGCTGATATAGCTAAATGCAAAATGGAAACGCGGTCCAGGCTTGATCGCCCGCGGAAATCCAAAATTTACCATCGACTTTCATCGAGCAGAATTTCGCCGCTAAACGCAATGTGTCTTGTTTTGCTATGTTTTCCCATTTTTAAACGATAAATAATATTTTTATCTTGCTAGCTAATCTTGCTCTTAACTGTTGGCATATTGTAAATATTACTTAGGTAAAAAATAAAATAAAATTCGGCTTTGATGAAATTTAATTGATGAGAAAATTGGTTCTTGTTTTAATAGGTATTAATCAAGATTATACAGGGTGGAGATACACAATAACTTTATTCACCTTGAATATCTCCGCTATTTTTACAGATATGGAAATATTGTAATTACAAAAGTTGTACGATATCAAAAGGACCATAATACATGCTGGTTGTAATTTTTTTAGGTGGAGACGCTTCTGGAGATTTTAAGGTTACCTCCATTTTTTTAAATGGTATGCTGTACTTTTTGAACCTTAGTGTAATAGTGGGTGTTTAGACGATTTCAACGATCTATAATAAAATATTGATACCACATTACTTATATTACTAATATATTAATAATAATAAATAATAAATAAAGAAATTGTACATTTTCTAATAAAAATCCGAGATCGTTGCGTATAAAAGTTATCATATTTTATGCTGTTAAATGTTCCGTTGATGAAATATGGTCCGATTAATTTGTCGCGTATGATACTTCATCACCATATATTTACCGATCATTGTTGATGATCAATTTCTTTTAACCAGTGCGGATTCTCATCCAACCATAATGCATATTATGCAAATTTACAAGATACCGTAATTAGTAAAGCTTCATCGATGAATAATATTAATAAAAAGAAATCTTTATCTAATGATGAATGACCTTTTAATTATATATCGTTAAAATCATCTAAATACTAGCTATTACACTAAGATTAAAAAAGTACAGCATACCATTTAAAAAAATGGAGGTAATCTTGAAATCTCCGAAGCGCTTCCAGCTAAAAAAATTATAACCAGCATATATTATATGGTCCTCTTGATACCCTACAACTTTTGTAATTACAATATTTTTATATCTCTAAAAATAGCGGAGATATTTACGGTAAACAAAGTTATTGCCCCACTCTGTATAAATCAATAAGTTTATTTCTGTGGAAAATTACTAGATAAATATTTAATAATTTGAAATAATCATTTCTCTAAAGATTATTATATTTTTCTATCTTTCCACATAACACTATCTATGTGCCATCATTATACGTTTACATACAAATTTGTTCAGTCAATAAATATAGTTGTATCCAATCGAGATAATCGAGATGATAACGAATCGTAAATTTCTTCGTAAAGTTGTAATGATATTATCTTTGCGTGCGGATGTGCGGTCTGATTGTAAAAAGCTAGGAAAATACGAATCCAGAGAAATCAACCGCAGGTTTCATGGGACCTGGAAAATTAGTATCGCGTATATACATATAAGTGTGAGTAACGAAGGAGCAACACCGACGAGAGCGGCGAGGGGTTGTAACGAATGGCCCAGGTCAGGAACAACCGGGTCGGTCTGCTGGCTTCTTACGGCTAACGTCTTGTCGAGAAACTCGTCGAATTTGCAGGGAACGTTTCTGAGAGCGTGGAAGATATCTTGTCGCGGAAACAACGGTTTCTTACGGCCGGGGCGTTGCCAGTACAAGTTTACTCGCGCCGGAAAAAGTAGTTTGTTCCCAGGAAAAACTTTTAGGTAGTTGATCTCTTGCTGAGAATCCTCTCTGATTTATCCTCCGATTTATTCGTTGAAAAACTTTTTAATTGTTATTTCAATCATTATTGCCGCATAATTTTAATATTTACTAATAATATCATAAATAAAAAACACATTTTTATTATTTATTACTAAAATGGTAATTACGCAAATATGTAACATTGTAGTCATCGATTATATAGTATATGGCAAATTCTATCTTTGCTGTTAATCTTCTTAATGAAAAAGGATACGCGAGTTCCAGTTTTGCAGTGGTGTGTGTTTCAGTTTTCATTTTGGTAATATAGTTTTAAGAGGTTAATTATACCATGGATAATTACGTGAAAAGAACGATTTTGCTCAAGTATCTAAAAATTTAGTTAGATACAGATCTGAAAATAATTTTGTCAGACCATTAAAATAATTATGTATGAATCAAACATGATGAACAATGCTGCAAAAAGTTTTGACATTCTAAACTATTCTAATTTGAACATTCTACGTTATTAATTATTTTTTAATGGCGCAACAAAATTATTTGCATCTGTATTTAATTAAATTTTTAGATACTGTAATCGTTCTTTCCATGTATACATTATTTAATGGATACATTAAAACTCATCGAATTTTAATATTATTCGTAAATGACTGTATGATTAGATACAGAATAAAGATGTATTATAAAAGAATAATGCTTTATAAAATGTTTGCTAATGTACAAAGTTATAATTTTTTATGATATTGTTATATGTATATAAGTTAAACACACATTAAAATATGTTTATTAATTATCTAGATACATTAATATACATAATTCTTGCATATATATTTATATATAATGTATATAAAATGTATGTTTACAATATCTCAATACAGGACGTTATGTTATCAATAAAAAATATCTTGGTTGCGAATGTAATAAAGTGATAGTAAGACTATTTCTATATCAGTAAATGCATTCTAAATGTCAGGTGAATTTAAATGGAAAAGCGGCTGTAATTGATATGCTGTTATATTTATCAATTTCCTGTTTTACACGATGTGACGCAAATATATAATATACATATATATCAGAATATCTTCAATAATACGAAAATTGAATCAATTACGGTTTTAATGACGTGACATCGTAAAAGAGACAAACGGTTTAACTCCGGTTTGTAATTGCGAATATTATTATCATTAAATGAATCATCGTAACACATTCGTATATCGTGTACAATAAATCTTCTTTAATTGTATTGTAATACTAGGTAAGCATACCGAAAATGCTTAGAAACTTTAATTGTAACAGTTCACTCAACATATTCATATGTTATAGTAACTTTATCCCAGAGACGTTTACATGGCGTACATTCGCGGCCTGATATTCCTATAAGGTTAATCTACGCACTATCGCAGGCACGAATAAATTTTGCGCGACTGACACGCGCTCTTACGCAGATATCAATATGCAGTCGTTATCCTTTAATACCCCATAGTCCGACATTGTAAGCGCTGCTAGATCACGTGCGATCTCGCTTATTCTGTATATTCACGATGTGCACGTATGAAGCAACGAGAACGCAATGTTCGGGTATTCTCGTCCGGTCTATAAACTAATATAACTTTGAAAAGAGAAGAGGTACAAAGAGTGCAAAAGAAGTACA